TAAAGACATTAAACATATATTTGTACAGTCATGTGTCGCTTAACAATAGGGCTATGTGCTGAAAAAAAATGCATTGTTAATCAATTTTGCTGTCATGTGAACATCACAGAGTATACCTACACAAACCTAGATGGTATAGCCTATTACACACCTAGGCTATATGGTATAACCTATGGCTGCTAAGCTACAAACCTTCACAGCATGTTACTGTACTGAATACTGTAGGTAACTGTAACACAATGGTTAAGTATTTGTGTATCTAAACATAGTAAAAACATGGTATTATAATTTTATAGGAACACCATCATACATGAAGTCCGTCGTTAACCAAAACGAGGTCGTGTGGCACATGACTACATTTAAAAGCATTTTTTAATGAACTGGAAAAGACAAGACAAGCAGCCAGCACAGCCTGCTGGATCTCTCTAGGAATTACACCCTAGAAATGCTACAGAGACAAAAGCAAAGCTTCATAGATTCCAGAAATTTTTACCACGAAACTCTGAGAAACTCTTGGAAAGGTACAGGATGGCTGGTGCTTAGCACTGAATGAATACATTCCCTTCAAGTGGGAGAAGGCCTATACCACGACATAGAATAACCTATGGGTAAAGAGAGCCTTCTTCCTAGGCCCTTCTCTCTCCCTCCCATTGGGAAGGAAAGTAGCAGTACCAGCAAGAGGAAACAGTTTATACAAGTACAGCACAAGAACACAGATGAGGCAAAAACTGGTAACTAGTACAGAAGAGGTGGCCAGTCCCTGAGCATTCTCTTTATTTCCCTTTTCCCCTGAGTACCTGGTAGCATTTACATCTAAGGGTGGTAGCCCCTGGAAAACAGCAGTGGCTGAGGTAGAGGGACTAGGTGGTTCGCTGAAGAGTAAGACCATTCAGAAGAGAAGCAAAGAGGGAGTAGTTAAGCCCTGACTGCAACACGAGAGGCTCAGCAGCCTGAGAACAAACCCATTCTATTCCCAAAATCCAGGTGAAGTCTTAAAAGTTGTGGTCCAGGCCTTTACTCCTCTCCAGGCCCTTCACACGACTACATAACAGAACTAAGGTAGCTTATAGTTCCAAGTGAATATGAGATCTTAGGGAGAGGTAAACAGGAGAATGAAATGTGTAACTAACACAAGCAGTTTGAAAGTATAACAAACTAAGCTACCTTACAAAAAGGAAGCAAGATCAGTAGCCCAGATAACAGTAAGAACTAAAAAATAAGCATAACAAATACTCTCAACAAAAAGAAAGCATACTGGAAACACAAAGTAAAGTCAAGTACTTATAAATAACAACCAACTGAAGACATTAAGTATGAAAAAAATAACCTTTGAAATAAAGAGCACAATGGATTGGCCAAATGGCAGAAGGGATACAGCTAGAGAACCAATTAAGAATCCCTCCGAAAATACACAGATAGGGAAAAAATTATTTTAAAAAAAACAGTTTAATAGAATATGTAGAGGAAAAAAGTAGAAGCTTAAATA